AATCTGTTCAAATGTCACGTCGGCGAAACAACACTCGCATTCATAAAGGGCATTGAGTTCTTGCGCTTCCTTCGCATTCAACTCTGAGGCAAATCGGAAATCCTTATCATGCTGCTCTTCGCGCCTCTGTCGCAACAGCGGGGCTAACAACATCTCGTGAAGCTCTGCATCCAGCTCGCTGCACCCGGTCTCCTTCAGAACAGGAACAAGCTCCCCGTCTACACCACGATGCCAGACCAGAAGCGGATGTTCTTCGCGGTCCTTCTTTCGCCTGAAAGACGGGAACATGCTGTTGAATGTCGCGCGCCATGTCCGACGCGACAGATCCCGAAGCGTCGGTCGAGCCCGAGCATAGCTGAAGTTGACTTCAGCGAGGACAGCCTCCACTGTACTCTTATTCAGGCCATTATATTCTCTTGTCATAGCCATCCGCACAGCGGCCTTGTATTCATCGAACCGAAACCGCTCCTCGGGGGGGACCAGGCCGCCATTGCCAACGTCTTGTCGAGGGAAGTTTTCGTCTCCAGGGACTGTGCGAGCAATTCCCTCTGCCTCAGCTTCCGTGGTTCCTTCCGGGAGATTCCACCGCCCCGAAACCCATTTCTTCTTATGCCTGAGTAGCTCCTCGACACACACTTGTAACCGGCTCTGTCCGTCAAAGCGTAGCAGCAGCTCGCGGAATACCTCTATCTGTACGTCAGGGAATATTCGAACCAGAGTCTCGAGTGCCGTATTGAGTTCCTCCTGTTCCCGCTTGTGTTCCTCTGTTTCGTGGGCCGAGAACTGGACGGGGCCGCGGGATCTGGAGGTACTGCCAAAAGGGTTATTTCGTAGTGCTTCGAGGGTGATGGAGTAGCTGTGAGGAGAGGAGCCAGTCTGTCCTAGAGATGGCTTCCGGGCATTGCGACTGGACGAGGAGCTGGTTTCAGAACCGGAGGCTGACTTTCGGTTAGATTGCGTGCCATCGGCGGGGCGGGATGTGGAGGATCTGGAGAAGCCGGGAACTGGCAGCGAGAGCACCATGGTTGTGTAGGCTTTACATGGTTTAGGAAGATGAAAGTGTCAAGGGGATATCAGAAGATGTCAGAAGATGTCAGGGGAAGAGAAAGGGAAAGGGGATATATGTAATAATGTATTGGAAGCAGCCTAAATTGAACAGTGAAGAATGGAGGATTTGTTACATAAGACGATCTTCCGCCTTTCACCTTTCTTATATCCTTTTACATCGATATCACTCTATGATCTCTTAGACATTAAATGTTCTTTCTATTTGCTAGATAGACAGTTCCTTCTCTTACACCATATCACGACAGTATATGATTCGATCCCTTTAAGCCATGCTGAAACATCATCTACACCGTACGATTCACTTAAACAATCGCATGCTCCTTGGGAATACGTCACGCAATGTCAAACTATAAAACTAAAATAGCAAAGAATCTATATTTATACAACTGCTGGTATAGAATGCCAGAGTTGATTCCCCTTACTAAACGCTACATTGATCGGATGTACATTTGTGGCCGTTGCGTGGGCAATATAAGTATAATTCACTTGAGCGGACATACATATATACCGGATTTTAGGCCTCGCGACATGGCTTTCCCTTTCTGTTTTAGTGCTCACCCCTTGCCGCTGTTTGCTTACTGAGTAAAACTGAACACGCCCCTAACTATTATATAATCATTAGACCCGCTCAGTTAACGTAATCGGTAAGTGAGCCGCCACTATAAGCGAGCCGCTACCCTACCTAAGAGTATAAGAGGAAAGGATTAAGAAGCTTAAAGAGCTAGTCTTGATAAACGTAATAGTATAAGAAGAATCTAATAAGAATAACGAGACTAAAAACGAACCTGCCTAGGGGTTATTAGAAACGAGATAAACCATATAACTATAGCTATACCTCCCTGACCCCTTAGCCTTTAAGGGAGTTAGAGTAGAATAGCCTATATTTAAATTATCGATCGAAAATAAATTAGTGATTAACTAAGAATCTGGGACCGAAATTTTTCTAGTCCCATGGGAGTTGTCAAGGCCTAGTAAAGGTAAAAGATAAGTGAGAGTTTTTGCTGAAGTTAAAGGCAGAGATATTGATGAAAAGGAAAGAAAAGAAAGAAGAAATTCAGACCTAGGGACTTGATAGAGGTAGGACAGGGTAGGACGAACCATAGTAGAATCAAAACTACTATGCCTATTCTAGCAATCCTTATTGTAAGAACCATAAAACCTCATCCGATCCGGGCCCATGGAATGTAAAGAGTAACTATGCCTTTCTTGATGGCAGAAAATGTCCTTTAAAGAACCTGACAGAAATCTGTGGTACGACCAATGTATGGTAAAAATGACTGATATGGATGACTCTAACATAAATGACAAAACCCGCTTTTTCAACAATCTATGCGGACATCGATGACTAACTGTAATATACATTTTTGTATAGCATGCTAGGTACCAAATGTCATATGATATTCTGGGTGAATTACCCTGTCTCCACCATGTATTGACCTTGGACTTCGACAGTAACCTCAAATCCCAATGCTCGCTTATATAACATAACGCCTGAACAACATTTAAAAGAAAAAAAACAAGAAAAGGTGATATGTACTGATTGTAGTGGGGAGGTAGGCTCCCCACTACAATATCTATGCCTAATATTCTAGTGACTATCCCGCGACATGGACTTCACCGTAATGTATACTTAACAAAGTATACTACGATCAATCCTAAGGGCAGTGGATGATTTCATTTATAGAATTAGGCGTCCTAGAGTGGAGCGATTAGCGTGCCACTGATTGGATACATTGTAGGCTCTTGTATATCACTACCCCAGAGTTCCGGTATCTTACCTCCAGGGCTATTACATAGTTTAAGCGCGGGTAGAGAGAGATTGAAGGTGAGAGAGTTATGAGTTAACAATAGGAATGAACAAGAGGACAATAGAATGAACAAGAGAGCAATAGAAATAATAAAGAAGACAGGACCAACGGAATCCATGGATGGTCGCCGTCGCCCAATTGGGAAGGCAGCAAAATCACAGATATAAACACCACCCTCCTCCCCTTTCCTAACTCTCCTTGCTTTTTTCCTCAAACAACGATCAACCTTCTGATTTTTGCACTACTACTTTTTTTTTGCCAAACAACAATCACCCTTCTGATTTCTACAACCCTGCTAGTCTCATCTGACCGAGAAGTGAGGCTAAGATCAGTCCCCTCACTTTATACACAGGCTGACATTTTGTTCTCTTAGCAAGATGTCGCAGTTACCAGGCTTAAAGTCACCCGCAAAGCAACCTGCGGCCGCAAGCCCAAGCACTATCCCCATCTCATTCCCAACCAAACCAGTCTCGACCAGAAAGCTTCCTGACCTTGAAGCAGCGCTGAAGAAAGTAGCTTCCGCACGGAGCAAGTTTCATGTGCGAAAGATTGGCATATTGATCCGGTGGGAAAACGATGAAACTGGCGCAGAGAATGATATGGTGACAATGGAATCAATTCTGAAACCGCTTGGGGTCCAATGTAACAGATTTGTGATCCCGAATTCGGACAAAACACCAGCCTGGAGCCTGCAAGAGAATCTCAACAAACTCCTTGGACAATGTATCCGGTCGTCACTACCCTCTCTGTTCATTTTCTTTTATGTTGGTCATGGTGGCCTTCATGATGATGCTTTGTGCTTTACGTCACGTCACAAAAGAATTCTGTGGCGGTCTATCAGAGGTACTCTGGAATCTGCACAGTCAGTGGATTCTCTGGTAATACTCGATTGCTGCCACGCGGCTGCTGCAGCACGGCAGCCCAACTCGACAACGAACATTCACATCATTGCGGCATGTGGAGTTCAAGAAATTGCGTCCGTACGCTCAAATACCGCTTCGTTTACCCAAAGACTGTTCCGTGCCGTCCAAAAGTTTAAGAACCAACAGAATTTCACAACGGCTGAGTGGTACCAGCAAGTACAAGTCGAGAAGCCTAAGCATGCTCCCCACGCCGTGTTTGAAACGTTTAGCGGCACCAGAGCAATCAGCCTTGCGTTCAGTGATACTAGTCGATCCCGCCTCCCTCGGCCATTATCTGGAGTGAGCCAAAATCACGTGCTGGTGAAGCTGACGCTTGAGGGACAACGAGACGCTGTGGATGACTTTTCAAAAGCCGTTCGCTCACTCCCGTCGAACATGGAAGTTGAGATTTGCAATGCATTCGAAACCGATGCCTCTGTTTTCTTTATCCTACAGATGTCATGGGAAGGGTGGGTTCTGTGGACCAGCGTTGTACATTTGGACTTTGTGGGTGTAACGCTCGGCCCTGATTTACTCCCCCGAAAAGCCATTCCCCCTGCTTCAGCCTCTGGGGAGAATTTGCCTCCTGAAGACGTCTCTTTCAAGGAAGCATGATAATTTTTCTTTTTGATATTTCCGTTTCGCTTGGCTTGCACTTTGTTCTGCATCGCTTTTGCTTTGCTCTTCTGTGTCTTTTCTGTTTCTCTGCTTTTCTCTATCCTTAAGCTAATTTATCGCATTCGGTGGCTGACTGAGATCGGCGCTCTCAAAGCAAAGTGCCGATATGTTGTACATCGTACGTTTATCCCCATCTCTACTGCTACAAAGTACATATTTCTTTTTATACCTCATGGTTAGGCGAGCTAAATGATATTGGAGGAGAAAGAAGGTGGTAGTATTCTTTTTTATGAACCAACTCCCACTCCTGATGAAAGGAAGTCGTCTAAAGGAGGCGGATACATGTATGTAGCACGCGAAAAGTATTGTCAGCTAAAGGGGTACATTGCGTACGAAGCTTTCTAGATACCAAGACCTGAGGTAATACTAAGGTTTTTCCGAAGCCTTCTTTGCCAATTGTGAACAAAAAGGAAGGCGGCCAGAGTGTCGATGAGGTGAGGTAATTTTTTGGGTCGCGGTGGCAGTCACCCTCATCCATCTGTTTCCTCTTTCGTTTCCCTCCCCTTCGTCTTCCAACCCACAACAACCATTTTAACCCACAATCATGCCCCGAAAAGCCTCATATTCTTCGCAGAAATCCATGTCTTCGGCGCCTGTATCGTCGTATCCGATGGGTACACATTTGTCTCCAGGATCTTCGAGTTCCTCTTTGGATTCCTCGCCAACATCAGAATTTCCGACCCCCATATCCCCGTCTTCAGACTTACTTAAGGATCCTTCCCTCTTGTTGAAACAGGTATACCAGGATGCCAAAGAATGTCTGAGACTAGAACAAAAGGATGAGTTCTGGGCACTTCTAGCCAAAACCGAACAACAACATGGGCAGATATCACTCCCTCTCCCAAAGGTCCCCATTGGGAAAATGACCCGAAAGGAAGTAAAAGTCGCTTTTCGCCTAACGCCAAACCCAACAGACCAGGCCCCGTGGTTGCATCCCCCTCCAGGAGCCCCTCTCCCACAGTGTGCTCGTAAGTCCCTTCCCTGGAAGTACTTTTCGGCTAGGCTATATCCCAATAACCTACGTTTTCCCACATATTGCCCTGATTTTGCTCAGTTCTGCCTGGTCATATGGATACAATAACTCAGTGACCACATACTGACATCTAATAGTCGAAATGTTAGGAATAGTTCAAAGAGGCAGCTAGTGCAGCACTCAAAAAGAAACAGCAGCACGATGCGTCATTGACATTCTACTATACTCAGTGCTGGATCAGGTCTCTGCGTCTAGCGACCATAGGCAATGGCCCTTGAACCTAGAACACGAAACCTGCATGACCTCTCGCGCGATCCTGTACGATACGAGGTAGTACAAAACCAGCGGACGTGCGGATTACACTTTGTGGTACGGAGAAACCCGTGCGATGTCAGAAAAGGCGATTAACCTGGTTATCGTTGAGGCCAAGAAGAAGGGTATGGTGAGCGCTGGGGAGGCCCAACTCCTTGGCTACATGGGTATGTCTTAATAGACTATGTCTAACAGTACTTTTCTAACCATCCCCTTTTCTCCTAGGTATCGTTCACCAAGAACGTAAGACCCTGAGAAAGGTCAATACAGTTGTCTACGGCATGGCTAGTGATGGAGATGAGTTTCATTTTCACCAAATAAACAATGACAGCGAGGTATGGTCCAATTATCCCATTACTACTGAGGGCAAGTGTCTGATTTATGAATAGTGGACAACCGTTTCCCACCGAGCCCTCGGAAGAAACTACGGTAAGGTAGTTGATCTCTTGACCTACATTATGCAAGAGGTCATCTCTCTCCCCCCCTTCGTGTCTAAGGACGTTTCAGCAGAGGATGACCCTATGACGGACGTTGGGATTATTCTAGTGTAGTGGTTTACCACCGCTCACATTTTGCCTCGTGTTCTTGATTTCTTTTCTGCTTCGTTTTGCTTTTTTGCTTTTTGTTCGCTTCTTGCTTGTTGTTGTTGTTGGTTTTTTCTTTTCATATCATCTTGTAGGTCGTGACTTTGCTCATATGGAGGTACCTCAGGAAGTACTGTCAAGCCTAATTAAAATATTAATAGGAGGTTGAGGCTTGTTGGTTTGGCTTTTAATCAATACGTCTATGCATATCCTGAAAATTGATGGATCGACCAGAGAAATAAAACTAGAAATTCCACAAGGAAAATGAATCAGGAGGATATATTAAATAATTTCCAGGTCTGCTCCGATTGATGTTGAGTAGTCCAAAGAGTTCAATAACGCTGATAATATAACGCCACTAAATATTTGCACTTCCTATGGTGAAAAGAGCCATATATTCTGTGTTAGCCCTAAATTTTGTATTACTATATTACTAGACTACTGCTAAGATTCCTAGGGGATTTTTATCACCTCCAAACAAGGCGATATCCGGTTAAATTGAGCCAATTAATGAGGGTGCCTCTGTAGACGTGGGTGTAGTCTTTAATCTTCTTGGTCTAGGTGCAACAGTACTTTTGGATCGGTCTAGGGTCCTGTAGGTTGGAAAGTACTGTTGCAGTGGGGCCTGGCTGGCTAGATTGACCACATATAAAAATAGAGAGTCTTTAGATTCCGGCTGGATCGACATTGAGAAGCCTTTTTTTGCCTTCCCTTTGGATCCCACGTAGTTACTAAGAACTGGCTGGGTTTCTCAACACTCGCACTAGAATACACTAGTAATGTGAACCCCTATAGTACGCAGTCCTCTAGTGTTCAAGGTTCAAAACCTGTATATAGTAAAAATCAGGTATGGACCCACCTTTTTGCGAAAAGAAACAAGGTCACGTGACTAGTATTACACAAAATTGTAATCCAGAGGGTTTCTTAGGCCGCTGCGCCTAGCTGATCACATAAGAGCATTTAGCCACTCGGCCAAAAGATCATAGGGACAATCGGAACCTCCGATTGTCACTGCAGCGGTATATATACTAGGCCCTAACATCCGTTCGGGACCACATATGAATGATCCACCTATCACGTGATTTAAGATACTCGTTTTAGCAATATTTTTACATTACTAAGCTAAGTGCTCACAGTGATCACCCGTGCTGTGAAATACTCAGTGAGCAGGAGCCTGAGCGCCTTCATAAAAGCGGCGGCACCCCGATCGGGAAATTCGCGACTGTGGCCTAAAATCCGGTACATACAGGTACATATGTAGGAATAGTTAATAGATCAGATAGCGGCTGATAAATGCATCATGGGGAAACTAAAAACAAAAAGCACAGGTAGTATATACAAAAAAGAAGCAACAGACCGACCCAGCTGTGCCGGCTCGCTTTACTAATGTCAACATCGCTTCAACCAAAGATCTCATATTTTACAGCTTGGCCTTAGCGCCCTCCAGGAGCTCCGCACCGGCGCCGGTAATGGCAGGCTTACCAGTCTCAACAACGGTGGCCTGGAATAAGACGGTGTTACCCTCCTTCCACATCTCAGTCTTCAGGGTCTGGCCAGGCAGGACGACACCCGCGAAGCGAACCTTGAGGTTCTTGTAGGGACCGAACTTGGAGAAGACAGCCTTGGCCGAAACACCGAGCGAGCACAGACCGTGCAGGATAGGGGTCTTGAAGCCGCCAACCTTGCTGAACTCGGGGTCGATGTGGAGCGGATTGCGGTCACCGTTCAGGCGGTAAAGCGCTGCCTGGTCCTCAGAGGTCTTCTGCTCAACCACGGCATCAGGCTGGCGCTGCGGCGCCTTGTACGCAGCAGTGGCAGCCTTGGCACGCACGGCAGTCGGCTTGGGAGAGCCTCCGAAGCCGCCGCTGCCGCGGATGAAGACGCTGGACTCGTTGTAGAACAGATCCTCACCGGTCTTGGCATCCTTCGTTGTGTACCCGGCCACGACGATGGCCGCGTTGCCTTTGTCGATGACGTCAATGAGCTTGGGATAGGTCAGGGTATTGGCGGCGGTGGGAATGGGGAACTTGCGAACCTCCATGTACTGCTCGCCGTGGAGCAGCATCATGGGGGAGAAATCCTTCACCAAGTCGTCAATGTTCCAGGGAGTAGTGGTGTTGAACCAGGGGACAACACCATACGAGGGAAGGGCCTGGAAGTGGTCGTCGTTCTCGTAGACCAGAGGCAAGTCTGTGCGCTTGGCGCCCAAGCTGAGGTTGTACAAAATCACATCGCGGTCCTCGTAGTTGAAGGGAGTTCCCTCGCTCGAAAGGGCCTTGGCCTTCTCAATGTTCTTGAGGATATCGTTCTCGCTGGAGGCATCGCCGTGCACGCGATTAGACATGTTAGCCATGATCTTCTCCGCGCCGGCCTGGCCATCCTCGGGGTGATCAGCGCGACCGTCATCAAAGTTGGTGATCTGCTTCCAGTTGCGAACTACCTCTTCGGGGGTCAACTTGACGTCCACGGGGAAGCCGTGGCCACCAGAGCGCTGCCAGCGGGTACGGCCAAACCAACCGCTACCACACTCATAGAGACCCTTGGTGGAGGGCTCAGGAGCCATGTCAGAGCACAGCAAAACCACAAGGGGAGCAACATAGTCGGGCTTGAAAGCCTGGACCATCTCCTCGGGCATAATGGTACGGGTCATATTGGTACCCGCATTAGGAGCAATGGTGTTCACCTTAATGTTGTACTTCGCACCCTCCAAAGCTAGAGTGCGGGAAAGACCCAGGATACCAAGCTTAGCAGCAGCGTAGTTGGCCTGGCCGAAGTTGCCATAGATACCGCTGGTACTGGCAGTGTTGACAACACGGCCGTACTTCTGCTTGAGGAAGTAGGGCCAGGCAGCCTTGGTCACCTTGTAGGTACCACGGAGGTGGACATTAATAACGGCATTCCACAGGTTATCATCCATGTTGGTGAAAGCCTTGTCGCGCAGGATGCCGGCGTTGTTCACCACGATATCAATGCGGCCGAAGGCATCAATGGCGCTCTTAACGACGGCATCACCGTCCTCGCAGTTGGCCTTGTTTCCAACAGCCTTGCCACCGAGCTTCTTGATTTCCTCGACAACGGGCTCTGGGTCAACAAGATCGTTGACCACCACAGAGGCACCGAGCTTAGCGAACTGCAAACAGTATGCACGGCCGAGACCAGCACCACCTCCAGTGACCAGGGCAACACGACCCTTGAAGTCAGGCTCCTCTCCTAGCTGAGCGCTAGGCGTCTTCAGGCCATCTTCCAAGAAGGCCATGAAGTCTGCAGGGCCAGTGGGATACTCGGGCTGAGAGAAATCGTTGACATCGTTCCACTTCCGGGCGATAGCACCAGGGGTCAGGGAGTCATCAGTCTTCAGGAGAGCACCCTTAGCTCGCTCCCAGCGGAGCTTGGCAACGTGACCACCACCGACCTCATAAATACCACCGGTCTCAGTGGTGTTAGATGAGTGCACGAGAGCAGCGACCAAAGGAACCACCCAGTCGGGTTTAAGATTCTCTAGAACATCCGGTGGCATGACAGTTGCAGTCATGCGGCTGGCAGCTAATTTAGGATTAGCTTTTCCAATTCATGCGTTGGGGTTTTTAGCTTGCTTACCAATGGGAGCAATAACGTTCGCAATAATGTTGTACTTGGCACCCTCCTTGGCCAGAGTCTCGGTAAAACCGACCTGGCCGAGCTTGGCAGCTGAGTAGTTGGCCTGGCCGAAGCTGCCGAATAGACCAGCAGCCGAGGCAGTGTTGATAATACGGCCGAACTTTTGTTTGCGGAAGTGAGGCCACGCGGCTCTTGCGCACTGTCCAGAGAAAAGGCTATCAGTTCCTGTTTCAAGCGCTTGTTTTTATGTCTCCGAGGGTGCTCACCTTGTATGCACCGTAGGTGTGGACTCTGTTGATTAAATCCCAGTCGGCATCCTTCATGTTCTTAAAGCTAATATCCCGCAGGATACCAGCGTTATTGAGCAGGATATCAATGCGGCCGAAGGCCTTAATAGCGGTCTCGATGATAGCATCACCGTTCTCGACGCTATCGTAGTTGGCGACGGCCTTACCGCCAGCGGCGCGGATCTCCTCGACGACGACATCTGCGGCCTGGAGTAGCTGTCAGTATCTGTTTGTCTAGTTCGGAGGTATAAGGCATACTTTTCCCGACTTGCCCTCACCCTTGTGAGAGACACCGAGGTCGTTCACGACGACATTTGCACCCCTTGAGGCGAAGAAAAGAGCATATGCTTTCCCCAGACCACCACCGGCACCGGTGACGACCACCGTTTGGTTATCAAATCGCAACTCGGACATTCTGTATATATGATGTGTCCGAAAATCAAGTGGATAATAGAAAGAAATAAAGGAAGAAAGCTGGAGAAGAGGGGAGTTTAAAGCAACTCGGCAAACGGAGGACCTCGGCACGTTTGGTTTTGTAACCATGAAATATGGGGGTATCGTTACAATGGCAGATCGTCCCGTATCACATGCCGGCGTACTTCGTATACAAGTGATTTAAGTATTCTGATGATTTAATGAAAATAAACGGGGATATAGACTAAATTGCTATACTTATGCATAAGAAACATATGCATATATCCATCATTGTAAGTGCAAGCGTTGTAAATGTCTTCCGGGACCGAGTCTTTGCTGACTCAGGCATGTGACGGGCAACGTCATTATCATGTGCACTTGTACATCTTTTCGTATAAGGACTATTTTACTGTTCCATTGTCTTGTTGCTCGATCCAATGCACTTCCTGATAAAATTCCGAGGTTCTTAAAATGTCGAGCCAAAAGTAGCGGCTGAACATACCCCGTGGGGTGGATGACCCCAGATTCACTCGGCCGATTGGGGGGGAAACTTTCCGCGTACCGTAGCCGATAGATACAAAAGACGTGCGATATAACATAGACAACTTAAAACTAAGCCAAAATGCCTGAAATCGTGGACGACAAGTCACAGTACTGCATCCCTTTCATACTCGATCGCCTGCGCGTTCATACAGAGCGGCACCGCAGCAACCCCAGTATTCCGCCGTTTTTCATTGGTCTCAATGGCGTGCAGGGTGCGGGCAAGACAGTTCTGGTGAGTCGATCTAGAGCTGGTCAATTTCCCATGCCTCGAGATCTCGTTCAATTTCCTCGGAACGGAATCTAACACCAGTCTCCGTAGGTATCCGCTCTCCATGACACCCTCCGCTCGGAACCATATTCGCTCGCGGTTGTGACGCTATCGCTTGATGATATCTACCTTGACCATGCCGATCAGATAGCTCTGGCACAAGCGCATCCTTCAAACCCACTACTGCAGCATCGTGGTCAACCTTCGACTCACGACTTCGTATTGGGTGAGGAGGTGTTTGCTTCGCTCGCCGCTGAACGTCCGACAGCCATTCCACAGTATGACAAGTCTGCATTCGAGGGCCAAGGTGATCGTGTCCCAAAGGCACAATGGGAGGTCGTCAATCAAGAGGGTCAGGATAAAGTCAAGGTCGTGATTTTCGAAGGGTGGTGTGTCGGGTTCCGTGCGTGGGATGACGAAACCCTGCGTGCGAAATGGGAGGCCGCTGTGCGTCAAAAAGATAACGGCGAATATGATGGACGACTAGGCTATGTCAAGTTTGAGGATGTTAAAGCTGTAAATGACGCTTTGAAGCGGTATGATGTCTTGACCGAGTGGGTTTATTCTGCCATTTGCAATTGCGCAACTATAAATTTTGCTGACATGGGTTTCCTTTGCAGCAAGCTTGATGCTTTAATCCATATGTATGTGCTTTGTTGCTGTAATACTTTCGTTTAACTAACCAGTCTCAGCGATGCCGAAACCCCTCGTTTCGTCTACGAATGGCGCCAGGAACAAGAACGCACACTCCGTGCTGCCAAGGGCACCGGGATGACCGAAGAACAGGTCAACAACTTTGTGGACGGCTGTATGTGTATACTTGAGAGAGCAATAACACTATTGATGGCTGAATATACTGACTGAAATTATCGATATAGATTACCCATCCTACGAGCTCTTTACTGAAACCCTCCGCGAAGGCGCTTTCAAGCCTGGACCACATAACCCATCCGCATCGGGCTCTGACTGGCAGGGACGACAGCTCTGCCTTGTGGTCAATCGTAACAGGAGAGTTCAAAGGGTCATTAAAATCTAATGTTGACGTAGAAACGTTGGAAGGAATGCAATAGTACATAGGTATCAGCTAGATATATATCACCCCAAGATTCGATTTGTCCACTCCGATTCTAGACCCTGTAGTAGTTGGGATTACTTCTTCATTATATGATGATAACTATCTCCCTCGGTATTCAAAGAGTTGGTAAATCTAATGTTATATGATATTAACACATTCATGCCATGAATTGACCAGTCACTCACGGTCTAGACAAAACATGAGACCACTAAAGCCAACTGGTTGACTACAATAATGAGCTTATCGAGATGATGGGCATCATAAGATCGTGCGGCTTCAGCACAGCTTCAAAAATAGCCTATAGGGTAGCTCAACGACATGGAATTCCGACCTCGGGATAGTATTCGGCCTAACAAAATCCTGATTACTACCAAAGGGCTCCGATACAGTGTTGTAGATTGAAGACTGCCCAGCCCTGGGACAGTCAGTCGTGGAATACAGTTAACAGTTACGAGAAAACGTACGACAGGAACCAAGTCCACGACCATGCAATTGGGTTGTTTGAAGCATTAAATTGATCGGAAACCCCAGACCATCGTATCGCTAAAGAATTGACTAGTGGATATAAACAGCCCGTGCAAAAAAACAACCCAAGACAGTAAAGTCGTAAAATTTTTGTAACTTTTTAAGAAGTGCGCTCAGAGAACGCTCCAACCCGAGTTCCTCATGAGAATAAATCTAGTTCATCTGGCGGATGAGACCGTTGATGTTCTCCTCACGGTTACCGGTGTCACCACCCTCGATGTAGTGCTTGAACTTGCGAGTGCGGAAACCACCGTTAGGGTTGGACAGCTTGAAGGGCCAGAGGAAGTTGTTGGCCTGCTTGAAGTTGGGGCCAACGGTGTAAATCTCGTGGATCAAATCCTCCATGCAGACAATGCCGAACTTGCCGAGGTGCTCCTCAATGATCTGGTTGTCGGTGAGGGGAGTGCGCTGCTTGTCGACCTTTCCGTAACCACGCTTGTACAGAAGCTCGCGGACGGACTTCAGGTTGGGGTAACCGTAGGCAATGTAGGGGTTGACGATAGTCAACATCTCCTGAGTAGCCTTGGTGAGACGAATGAAAGTACCAGAGTTGATCTGGAGCAGACGCAAAAGCTGGAGGATCTTGCGGGGCTTGGGAGCAATCTTGTTGATACCCTTGATACGGACAACGAAGACGAGCTTGGGCTCACCCTCAACAAAGAAGCTGCCCTCCTGGCGAGCAACGCGGTTGAGGCGGATCTTCTCGCGCTCAGCAGTGCGGTACTCCTGAACGTAGGACTCGGCACGCTTGAAGATGACACCACGCTTCTCCTTGTTGGCCTATATGAATCTCAGTCAGCATGAGAGTCTCCAAAGTCTTGTGAAGAAAATGGCAAATAGTTGTGTAACTAATGTCAGACCCGAAAGATGGTTGACAGACGACAGCATTGACCGTGGTAGCGGTCTAGTCATCGTGAATGGTGTTATGCATCATGTAGTTGGAAGGGAGGTGTCGCAATGTGGGAAAAAAATCGGGAAAACTGACCTTCTTGGTCTTCTCGGCCTCGGCACGGCGCTCAGCGCGGGCAGCCTCTTGGGACTTGCGCTTCTTCAGAAGGGTCTCGGGAACGAGGACCTGGTTCTGGGTGGGAACGGAGCTGTGCAGTGTTAGAACAGTCTGTCCGAAATAGATCGAGACTGAGACAATTCGCCGAGTGAAAGAATTGCAGCATATAGCGCCACATTCTCAACTGAAGGCATAAAATAACTCGACGAAATGTCTTTAATCAGTGAGGGCCAAGGCATCGGAGTTTAATGATCGTTTACAGTTCAGTACTAGCTATGCATATTCCAGCATAGTGTTCGTAAGCCGGATCACCCGCAAGATGCCATTGATGCCTTCATCCGACAAAACCCCGAACAATGTTCAGGAAATATATGTTGACACTTTGTCGCTTCAGGATCAAGACGCTGTTACCACATCATGAGCGCCCGAGAACGATAGTTCACAACAATATTTTTGGAGGAGAAGGCGCCAAGCGCTTTCAACCTCAAGACTCCATCACCCTTTTTTCTGTATCCAAATGCTCCATGATATACAAGAAGTGTATCCGAGATAATTGGAATCGAGATAGAGGGCAGGAAGGATCGAGCTGGTGCCTAGCCGTCATTGTTGTGGACAAACAGCTGGCATCCCCAGCGAGAAGGACGACTATACCAGCAACCTTACAAACTCAAGCAGAGATCGCATCAGTCTTAGGAAGAAGTCAATGGGAATCATACGTAGTAGCGGCCATTTTGAAGGTCCGGACGAGGTCGAGAGTCGGCTGGTTGTCGAAGGATGTCAAGGGAAGAAGAAAAAGCTCGAAGAAAAGGAATGTAAGAAGAGACTTCGCTTGTGTGGGTGTGGACCGCCTAGCCGTATACGGTTAGCCTATAAACCAACTAGCGCTAGCCCGTTATGGGCTCAGCCCTTATCGTGATCTGGATAAGGGTTTGTCTCTTATCAGTGACTTCATGGGTGACCGCCTGGGGTAACTACATACATGTAACCTATCAAGTGATTCCCCTTACACTCTATATACTATGTCTCGTCGCGGAGTTGGCCTCGGGGCCTTTGCAAATCGAACTCAGGCAACGCAATCTTATGCCACTCATGGCGCCAATCTCCGCTCTACGCATACTGCCTCCCTACAGACCCAGTTGTCGGTTTTCCAGTCGTTGCTCCACACATTTGCGCTAGAACATAGCTCTACGATAAAGTCCAACCCGACGTTCCGAGCAGAGTTTGCGCGCATGTGCAACACCATCGGGGTTGATCCCCTTGCCGCAAGCAACGTCAAGGGCAAGAATGGCCGCCGCGGACTGGGAGAGGGGGGTAGCTTCTGGACCCAGATTATGGGCGGAGATATGAATGACTTCTACTTTGAGGTTGCAGTCAGAGTTGTCGAGCTGTGCAGAGAGACGAGGAGCGAAAATGGTGGGCTGATTGGTGTTGAAGAGTGTCGGAAGAGAGTAGGGAAGCGCAAGGCGATCGGAAGTGGGCTCGAGGTTTCAGAGTATGAAGTTGTTCTTTCAGGAAATACGGATATCTACACAAGGGACTGACTGAAATACGTAATCGACAGTGACGACATCCTGCGAGCAGTTCGGTCTCTTGAGCCTCTTGGTTCCGGGTTCTCCATCATTAAGGTCGGCAGCAAGCAGTACATTCGGTCCGTCCCTAAAGAACTCAACACCGATCAGGCAACAGTCTTGGAAGTAATTCAGGTGCTGGGATTTGTGAGCGTTTCAATGCTGCGGTTGAACCTCAAATGGGAAAAAGCTCGAGCGCAAACCGTAATAGATGACTTGCTTGCTGATGGGCTAGTGTGGTTGGATGCCCAGAGCCCTGAGAAAGAGTACTGGTCACCCCAGAATCTTCTGGAGGATAGTGGATGAAGCAGGAGCTTCATATGATTCACATCAAATCGCACGATCATAATGCCTGCGGTCATCTCTCCAGGTTTTGCTTGTCCAAGCATCATGGATACATTGAACATGGATACATTGAACAGTCGATGCTTTTCGGGTGGGGTAACAGTCGCCCTCCCCTTCCGGGCCTGTTGGTCAAACCACAACGAGCTACAGTTTGTTCGATACCATTCTGCAGGGTATTTATCTACAGGCATTGGTACCACAAATATAGGCCATTCAATTTACGCAGAGAGAATTTACGTAGAGAGATTCTGAACTTGATGAACGAGCAAGCAGTGTTGGCAAGGATCTAAGTATGAGCGGTCGCCCGGGTGTACGCAACAGGGAACGCCTTAATTGAATTATGGCGCTACTTTGACGATAATAACGACATATTGTATTTGTCTGACGAATCTGACGAATCCGAAGTTTTATGGATCTCATTTTTGGGTGTTGGAGTGACACGGCATTGCGTGATATGGAGTGACAAGCATGTAAGATCTCCCCCCGCAAGGAAACTATTTATAAACTCTCTCATATCCCACCCATGAAAAGAAATAGTCCATTGATCTAAATAGAACTTGAACTGATCAACCATACTGCATATACCCTTCCGCCATGTCCCAATCTAGTGCTCCAGCGACAGATCCGGCTGTCTACGCCGAATATGAAACCACATGGTCCAATCTGCCGGACACCGAAGAGGCATGGATCGTTAGAGCCCGGGAGGTCTCCGAGGTGCTAGCCAAGGATGCGGCCCAAAGAGACCAGGAGAACAAATCACCCCGCGCCGAAGTGGCCCTGCTCAAGCATTCGGGCTTGACAAAGCTTCTGGGACCGAAGAAGTATGGTGGTGGCGAGCAACCCTGGAGCGTTGGATATAAGGCAATCAGAGAGGTTGCAAAGGCAGATGGGTAACATCCCAACATCCCTTATGAATCCGAAGGATAGTCCCTAACAAGAAGACAGATCTATTGGTATGCTGCTTGGCTATCACCTTCTCTGGTCTACCATTGCAAACGTGGTGGGCACTCCTGAACAAGCCGACCGAACCCATCAGTTGATCATTTCAAACAACTACTTTGTCGGTGGCGCTGTGAACGCCCGCGACGCCGATCTGAATATCACCCCAGACGGAGACGATATCGTATTCACCGGGAACAAGTACTTCAACACTGGAGGCGTTGTGTCCGATCTTACAGTCCTTGAAGGTATATTGGATGGTACCCAGGATCATATCTTTGCTTTGGTCAAGACCCAACAGCCTGGTATCCAGTTTGCTCACAACTGGCACAACATTGGGTTGCGCCTGACCGAGTCTGGAGGCGTAAAGATTGACAATGTCCGTGCTTCTTGGTCAGATGCACTGGGCTGGGATGCAGCTACTAAGAGGCCTCGCGATGACACCCTGAAGATCGCATTCCCCACTCTACTCCTGCCAACGTGAGTGCTGTCTATGCCATTCCATATGTCATGCTTCCTCAGCAGTTACATGGCTGAATGCTGACTTTCGCTCTTCCCCACAGCATCCAACTGGTTTTCAGCAATTTCTACTTGGGCATTGCCCTTGGTGCTTTAGATTTCGCCTCCAAATATACTAAAACCGCAACACGGGCTTGGCCTTTCGGCGGCGACAACAAGGAATCCGCAACGGATGAGTTCTACATCCTCGAGCGCTATGGTAACTTCTTTGCGCATCTGCGTGCCACAGAAGCCCTTGCCGATCGAGCAGGCGATCAACTCTCAGGGCTTTATACTCGATACCAGGCGCATAAATCTGATCTCACCGCCCAGGAACGTGGAGAGGTTGCGGAGTGGGTGGCTAGCGTCAAGGTGGTTGCCACAGATGTCGGACTCAGGGTTACTTCTGGTGTATTTGAAGTGACTGGAGCCCGAGCCACCGCCTCCAAGGTTGGATTGGATCGATTCTGGCGGGATATTCGCGTGCACACTCTTCATGATCCGGTGGCTTACAAGAATCGAGAATTGGGACGATATGCACTACTACATGAAGTGCCCGAGCCTAGTTGGTATACTTAGATATTATAGATTCGAATGGAATGCATGTCAATATGAATGTGAATATGAATATATCCCGGGTCAAGCTGCACAACATAGAAGTGTCTACAGATAAAAGCCCCGCACACCCGTGGACGGGCCGATAACCTTTCGGTCCGACTTTTTTTTTTTTCCTTTTTTTCCCCTCCATTTTTTCCTTCTCTGTGGGAAAACATTCGACAGCTACCTCACTTCTTGATACTTGATCTTTATTGGGATATCATTTATCTTCTTCATATCTCCATCCAATTTCGAAACCATCACAATCGCCAACATGTCGGAAAACAAGCAATATGCCACATACAACGATGTAAGAATCCCGGTCTATTGACTAGACACTATGTCGTTGTGTTAGTTTTAAAAAAGAAGAGGTTGAAGACATCACAAACACACATGAATATCATCAAGGTCCCCCTCAACCCCGCAAAATGCAGATTGTCTCTTATCGCAGTCCACAATTGTCATCACTCGGAACTTTAAAAGGACTGAAACTAATACAAATATCCTTCACAGGTCCACAATCTCTGCAAGAACTCGGCGAAAGAGCCCCTCGCGAACTGGGACATCAACCTTATAATCGCCATCGGTGGTGGTGGTTACATCCCTGCCCGCATCCTCCGGTACGTTCAGTTCACACGTGCTCCTTCATCTCGACTATATTGATCCTTACTCGCTAAACAGGTCCTTCCTCAAGAAGCCTGGTCAATCTAACATCCCCATTCAAGCCATCGGTCTGTCCCTCTACGAAAAATTGGGCACAGACAGCGTTGAGGAGGTCCCCGGTACCAAGGTCACCCGTTTGCAATGGCTCGACATGAACTCCTCGATGGCCAACTTGATCGGCAAGAACGTTCTTATCGTCGACGAGGTCGATGATACTCGCACAACCCTACAATACGCCGTGAACGAGCTCGAGGAGGATGTTAAAAAAGCTCAGAAGCAGCTCCCTGCCAATGATCCGAGGAAGGACAAGGAGACTAAATTCTTTGTCTTCGTTCTGCACGTATGTTGTTTATTTTATCTGAAGGTTGAGTTGATAGGTTTGGCTGACAGCTGGAATAGAACAAGAAAAAGCCCAAGAAGGGTGAGCTGCCCACAGATATGACGGACAATGACCAGCGTTACCACGCCGCGGTCACCACTGGGGATGTCTGGATCTGCTACCCTTGGGAGGCTGAGTATGTTATACCCCCAACTTTATATCTTCTGGATTGTGGATTGTGGCTGATTTTTTTTTCCCTGTAGGAATATTGAAGAGCACGATAGTCAGGCCAAATTGTCCCCTATCGTCAATATTCCCCAAAAGCATGTCGAAGAAGCCTCTACTGAGGCGGTTCAAGGAGAACCCTCTCCTCAGGTTGTTTAAGCAAATGATTACATTATCATAAGCATTCCCTTTTGTGCGATGCTCTGATGGTTCATATTTGGGACACTTTTAATCCTCGATTTTGCTGTCCATGCTTAGACCAGGTGCACAAACCTGAGCATGTAATTTTTACGATATCCTTGATGAATTTCTATAGAAAAAGTTCTTTAATTTTGGCAGATTGGCAGACCGGCTGGCTGCCCCCAAAAGACCTTTTGCCTTGAAACTGCTATTGCACTCCTTGCTCCTTTTTTTTTTTCTGAAACGGAGTGCCCCGTAATCACCGGGAGTCTCGTTGTAGCCAACAACCGGAAACCTGGTCCTCCAACGTTGCTTTGCAGACATTGAATTGTAGAAGTGTATCAAGAGAATATACCATTGGTAGCGGAAACAAAAAGTCACTGGGGCATAGCGTATTATATTGATCCGGCGCAGCCTTTTCAATCCTGCAAAGACATAATCCAATCCAGACCCAGGCCCAGACCTTGTGTGCCAAGGTTGGTTCCGAGTGTCTGGTTATCCATCTAACCAATGCGCACAGCCATCTCTCAATCAATCAACCTCAACCTTGCCCTGGCGCAACTCCACCTTGGCAAGCTCGATCTCCTTTTGTAGCTCAGCGTGTGCCTCGGGGACGTCGTTGAAGGTGAAGATCGCCACACCCAGGCGGGCGAGGAGGTAGCAAGCAAAGACAATAAGCGCGTAGAATGGGAGCTGGGTGATTGTAGGTTAGCTTTTATCTCATTCGACACACTCGAAGTCCGGGGAGCGGAGGATTGACGGGGTGGGTAACGTACAACTGGAATGACTTCAGTCTGGACAGTCTCGTTCAGGGGAACGAGTCCAAGGAAAAGGGAAAGGTAGAGCTGATCGATTGTCAGTGATATCCATGCGGGATTGTGTTCCTTTCTGAGATGAAGGGACTCCGTAGCATACCGAGGAGACAAGGAGAAGAACGGAGAGGGTCTGGACAGCGCGTGTCATGGTGAGATTGGTCGACACGATAGGAGGTTCACAAAGGAGAGAAGAGAGGTCAATCGTGAAGATAGCACCGGGTTATTGCAGCGAAAATGAAGGATTCGACTCGGAGTTTTGCAGTGCTGTATGCGGTAAAGGCCAGCTTGGGCGATGCGCTTCTTGGCGCCCCGGACCGGGTCACTGGTCTTGTGTACCTGCCAAGTCTATAACTAGTGATCTCTTAACAGGGGATTTGGATTTTAGATGGTTACTATGTATATGACCTTATTAAATATATAATTCTTCTATATAAATTATCCCATATGTTTGAAAGGTATATCAAAAGATCAAGAGAGAAGAACGAACAGAGCAGTGAGATCCGTTTTGAGCACGCCGGCACGAACTATATTATGTCAGCAGTTGACTCCCGGACCTCGGGACCTCTCCTATTTCTATGCTTGACCATTGTCATAGTGGCTAGAGTCATTGATATGGCATTAAGCTCCCATGTCTTTGGTATCGAAAATAACTTCATGTGAGAAACCCTAATTTGGTCCGATCTGCCCATGATCACCAATCCTGAACCTCACCACGAATTTGCCGCCATACTACTCCTTGGTTCCAGTGCTCAAGACCTCAATTATCCCGGTAATTGGCTTCTCATGGGTCTTCGGCACCTCCTACAGGTCCAAAGCTGTGCAGCAGCATTGTCCATGTCGGTCTGCACCCAGGCGGAATCCAAGACAAACGCATTGAGCCTCTTATCCTCGTTGATCCGAACATCATACCAGTTGGCAAGTGATTTCGATGCGCGATACGCCGCACTTGGGACTGGAGGTTGGATAATTTGCTTCTATTTACTGTGTCCCAAATCCGAGCAGATATACGCCAGACCACCGGCCCCGGATCCTATAATGCTTTCCGGCTGACTTCTACAGTAGACTGCGCGCAGCCTAGTACAACGACATGACACCTAACACGTTGGAATATGCTCGACTACATCGGCCTGCCTGATATCCTTGACGGGTGGATATGATTCGGCAATGCCGGCATTAGCGACGACAATATCGAGGTGTCTGATGCCCTGTTCGATTACTTCTTTTACAGTATTAAAGGTAGACTAACTAACCCTCGCTTTATACCCCACATCCCTAATAGATTACGACGATTATTTTACAGCTCTTTAATTGGATATAGGAAAAGACAATGAGACTCCACTGATCCAAATAGGCCCTGTCAAATGCGACTAGATATTGATGTCCGACAGTGTACACTTATACATGATTTGAGTGGGAGTCGAACAGGCATTGATAATCAATAACTATGCACATATCTGTTCCCATATAGATATATACCACGCATTATTCCCCCGAGCTACTGTAACAATACCTCATTACTAATCTCCAATCTCCGGCGCTCCAAGGCTCAAGTATCTGTTTTTAAATGCAGGTGATACCTCCAGGACTGACCCTCCAACTGCGGAAGGCTGATACATCCGCAATTTATGGAAAATTGCGTGGGCGATGAATGATCATGTATTTAGTACGGGGAGAGTGACCATCTGCACGTGCACTTATATGGGCACTGATACGTCCATTGATCACCGAGATAAGTCCGATATTGCCGAGTTAAAACAGAATATATTGCAGTTCCCTCCGGATGTCCGTGTTTTTTTTTTTTATAAAAAAAAAAAGATTATCATTCTAGAGTCAGATAACTAGTCGGAAGGTACACATACGGGAGCCAAAGACCACAATCCCGAACTTGCCCTAGACCCTACGCCAAGGAAAGAATTTTATGGATTTATCTACCTTTAAATTATAATACTAAGCAAAAGAGGTGCTTAACTATAAGATAATACATACTAACTAGTTAACTTGGGCATTGAATAAAGCCTTTTCGGAATGCTGAACGTCTTAACTAGTACATGGTGTACTAAGATTGAAAGATTTGCGAAGACGACCACACTTTAATGGTCATTTCTCCCAAAATTAGAAGCTATAGGCTACTGGTTAAGGAACTGTAGGATAATGGTTAGTCCATCAAGCTTATGTGATTCTCCCTAACGGGAAATTATCATGATTCATTCCTTGAATATCGTGGTTCGATTCCGCGCAGCTCCATCCTTTTTTTTCTTTCTTTTTTTCTCCTCCCTTCAATCGGGCCTATATCCTATATCGAAATAGCCAAAACTCCCTAGTGAGAGAACAGCCTAAAAATCAAAGTGATAATATATTTTTTTCGGAATAGATATACTCCTCATCGGATTTCTTCTACAAGCTTCCTACAACATACACGTCTGAGCGGAGCACGTGATCACAAGCCTGAATGGAGACTTGATCCGAGGGGATAGATAGATAACTAATAACTATGTACATAGCTAGTTAACTATGCGTTTATATTATTTAATCCAAGTGAAGACACAATGTCCGGCAGAAAACGATATCTCACTATACTCGGGCCTAACCCAAAAGAGATTGGTGCCTGAATCCACCTCAGGCAGCATCCCTCTCTCCACGAAGAGCTAAACTTACTTTGTATCTGCGAGAATTCTGGTGAGCCGCTTGTCTTCCACTAATATCAAGAATCCATTTTAGGCTCTGTTGCCTGATTTAAAGCCACTAGTATTCTCATATCAGAGTAAACGCTGTTTGTTTACAGTGTTTAAATTGTTGCGACGGGGTCAACAGGCTGCCACCTAGGCTCCTCCGTCTAACTGAGAAGGCCTTGCCCGTTCGGTCAAGGAATTCGTATCTTCATATCTTCAACTCAACACGGACCTTCCAATTTAATCCACACCCCGAAGGCAACTATCTGATCTCGATTCGGCAACATGTCTGACGCGGGTATATCTACCGCCCAGCTGGCCATTCATGGAGATGCTGGCCACTCAGTCTCGAAAAAGGGGGATTTGGAATTGCCTCCTATCAAAAAGATTCTCTCAGATCTACCGGAGGTTTCTTCTTCTTTGCCACCACGCACGGAAACCATTGGCTCGGAAGAGCAACAGGAGATGTTCCGTGGATTGCGGGAGATCATTGAAAAGGCCCAGGCGGTTGACGAGGCTGGAAATAGCTTCGATCTCAAGGAGCTCCATGCATCTCTTGAAGAGGCCGATGCAAACACAAAACGAGGGCGACGGGATGCCGACACTCTACAAAGCGTGAACGCCACCCTGCAAAAGCTCTGGGCTTGTAACTCCGAATACTTGGTTCAAGCGACTGAGATTATTGCGGATGGTAGCAGAGATCGTGGGTCAATCCTATCTATTTCTTAATTTTACAAATTGCTAATTATGATTCAGCTTCGTGGCGTGCTCCATTTGGCCAGTCTGGTGTTTTGAACTTCTTCCTGGATGTAGTTTCTTTGAAGGGCGAAGTTGATACCAGGTTGTTACTCCACTCTTTACGAGTTATTGGAAACTCATGTGCCGATACAGGTATGCTGAATTTACTAATATATGTGCCCAGATAACTAAAGTTGATGCAGATGAGAATAGGGAAATTGTTGTCAAGGGAAACTACACCCTTGCTATCATTCGCTACTTCCTCGATCCCGATTTGATTTTTGTTGCCATTCCGGTCATCTACAATATTTGCATGGATTACAGTATGTCTAGAAAGAGCCAAATAATGCACGTTTCGCTAATGTGATATCAGAACCAGCACATGTCCAGATAGCTGCCAATCGGACAGCGTACATTTTATTGAAGCTGATCAAAGATGGCGAGATCGAAGACAATGAGGCTCTACTCAATTTTTCCTACGATTTGATTGAGCTGGCCTCAGAGCAAGGTATACTTTATCTTTAACCTCGGTCTATCTTCCGATCTAACATATAACTTACAGCCGAGGGCATTGAACACTCTCCCGACGGAACAATTGTACTTCTGATGGAGCTTGCCATTGATGATACTCTTGACTTTGCACATTTTTCATCATTGGTGACTTCTCTTGCTGCTTACCTAGAAAATGAAAGGTTCCAGAATGTCTGCGTGTCGAATGGAATGGTGGAAGGCTTGCTGGACGTCCTGCGCCATTCATTTTCGATTGTGGTGGACCCTTCTTCGAACGAAGACGTCAAGGCTCTCGCGCAGCTCCGTCTCAAGATTAACCAGGCTTTGGCTGAGGTGTCAGCCTCACCATTTTTCGCCCAATACTACCCCCTTGACTCTCCTCTTTCACAGACATTGAAGTCATGGGTGGTTGCAACCGAGGACCAACTTCAGGTCTGTGCCTGTGTCATGCTTGGAAATCTCGCCCGGTCCGACGAGGTCTGCCAGGTAATGGTCCGAGACTTGAAAATACACGGAGAATTGATATCCGTTCTCAAGAGCGATTCTCGGGGAGCGGTTCTGCACTCCTCGCTTGGTTTCCTGAAGAATCTTGCAATTGCCGGTGACAATAGAGCCATTCTTGGAGAAGCTGGTATCATTCCTGCCATCTCACGATTATGGGCATATGAATCTGTTCCACAGGTTCAATTCTCGGCTGCAAGTATTGCGCGCCAAGTGATTATATCCTCGACGGATAACATCTCCCGCCTTCTTGCTCCCCTCTCACAAGATCTTGATTCCCCGGCTCACCAACGGACCTATCTCTCTCTACTCCTATCTCTTTTCGAGAAAACCGACTCCACGCCAATCAAAACTGAGATTGGGCGGACAGTTGCTTCGATCTGTCGAACTGTCAGCCCCAAGGCTCGCGATGGAGACGACGAAGCAACCTCCTTGCTTGACAGACTGTACACCCTGCACGAGGGTGTTTCGCTGCCAATAGGTGCGATGATCACACAGACTCAGTGGCCTGTCGTTCGCAGTGAAGGCTGGTTTGCTCTAGCTCTAATGGCCACAAACAAACTCGGTTGTGCCGCCGTTGTAGACTGCCTGCACAAGACAGAAGTTACCGAGTTACTCAAGACGACCCTAGGCGGGGGCACTCCCAATCAAGATAAGGCCGAGGAGACAGACAAGTCGCAAGAGATCAAAGACCGTGACAATGCTTTTGTACTTGTGCAAGGGCTGCTGGCGAACGACGTGAGCTTTCTGCCCTGGAATAATGCTAGTCATTTGCTAACCGGAAAATAGTCTGGTGCACTTCCTGTGGGTTATCGGGGTATGCTGGAAGACTTGGTGAAAGTCAATGCCTCACAGCTGAAGGCTGTAACAGATGCTTAATTGGAGAGAGAGGTTGTATGTACCATGAGCACCCGGGTAAAAAGAATCTACTTCTTTTAAGAACCTAGTTGTAGACGTGCAAAAGTTGAACAAAATCGTTGGGTATATACGTATATGTACATGTAAGTTCCTCCGTTAATTGACACAGTCTGATACCCAGAGTTGTCGGGAGATCACTCAGTCTGCAAACACACTTTCTCCTGCGCATATGCTCGGTAACGAGTTATGAGATCCGTGGCGTCTAGACCAGCCGCACCTTGGCGAGCAGAATAATGTGAAACAAGCCCCTTGCCATCTATAATGATATGCGGACGAGAGCCATCCGACATATGCCAATTGTGGGAGGATCCATTTTGGTTGTTGCGGAAAATACGGTGCACATCCACTGCATCATTACCCCAGAAGCACCCAAAATTATCGCTGGTGGGCTCGGTTGGATCGACCCACATCGGGAACTTGTAACGGCCCAAATCATTGTGTTCTAGGTGGTGTAAAAAGGAGTAATGTTGCTGCGCACCAACAGTCCAGTCATGCAGGGTTGGACCGGTGTCGGTGTATACGGATCTCGCGATAGGATCTCGATCAGAACCCGCATCCCTGGGGAGTAGCCAGCGATGCCCTTCAAATGGCGGATCAAAGTCTTTGCTTATTTTGAAGCTCGGCGGGCCCTGCCAGTTTGGAAGATTCGAAGCTCGCCAGTCGTGCTTCAGTTGAAGCTTTGATCGGGACGGTTGTTCCACATCGTACAATTCAGGTAGATATGGGAGTGCAGTTCCCGGATGACTGTGGAGAGATGCGAGAGCTGCCTCGTTTATCACATTGGCCGATACCATCAGCGTGCTTGGATTGTCGAGTTTCGTTTTGACGATGGTCGGAATGGCGTTGTCCTCCAGGAACACGATATCGCCGTCGATTCGGATGTACATCACATTATTCTTTGCAACTTCCCATTCTATCTCATGATATCGAGAAGAAATGGCATACTCGGGTGTTTGATTCACGATCGAATAAAGCCATTCCATGTCGACAGCGTCATCAGTCTGCGGCACAAAGATGACCTGATCAAGAAATCCATTATTATGGACCAAGTTTTTCTTGAATTATGTTAGACTCAAGCAATATAGTAGCGGCAGGATTGTGCATACCTGCAAATAGCAGTCCAATATTTCGGTACGCCCATGGTAATGGAAGGGAACTAGAGCGACTATCTTGAAGCCTTGGGGCTTGGAGTAATGACCCGTTCCTTGCGAGAATGCGAAGAATGGAGAAATCTCCTTGCGAAACAGCAATGAACAGATATCGAAGGGTATAAGCTTCGGGTTAGAGTAGAGCAACACCATCAAAATGATGCACGCATAGCCAGTAGCACCCCACAGAAGGACAAAGGCCCAATCGCGCCAGTGCGAGTGCTTTTTCTCATTGTTCGACTCAATATCGCGAAGGTTCTGGGTACGACTCATGGTCAACAACTCCCGCTCCATCTGGCAATCGTTTGAGACACTGAAGATAATGAAAAAGCCTCTCTGGATCTCTGGGCATCATGGCCCGATTTAATGTCAAACAAGACCATTTTTCCGGCCGTTTGAATAGGGCTCGAGGATCCGTTTTCGGGACATGAAAATCATAGCAGTCACTAATAGAAACCGCTATAAAGCAAGATCTACCCCTCAACTGTTTCTCCTTGATAAAGAGCTAGGATCTGCAGTGGACATTGCCGGATTCGGCAATGGTTAATTGCAAGCGGACAAAAGACGAGGAATGTTGTTGCAGAATGCAAATTTCGACCACCACTTTAGAAGATTAACTAGAGCCTGCAATGAGCAGTTAGGGTTACTTTTATCATTAGCTAGGTTATAACTTATGTACCGAGTACTGTACAGGTGATATGTATATGCTCACATGATGGGATTTGTCTTGTTTGCTATGTTTGTTATGTTTGTTATGTTTGTCCTTTTTATCTACCCGCGCTCATATAATGACGTCGCAGCACGGTGTTTATCGTCCAGGATCTTGACTAGGAATTCTACTCCAAGGCTACTCGTTACTTCTACCTCGACCTTTCTACTAACTTCGTGATTCTATGTTAATATTATACGCCTGCATGATAACATGAGGGCGGCCGGTCTCTTCGGCCGTTTCTGTCTCAAACGCGGGCTTCCGCGTCTCCCCCGACAATATTTCAGTCGTCCGCTATGGCCTCGGCAACTAAAAGGCACCCCGCGGAGGGCTCCCGTAATAGGTGGGGTGCTCATGGCCACTCTGGCACCAGCGGCCTTTTTGAAACTGGCGGCAGAGAATGATGGCCACGATAAGACCGCGGAAATGCAGATGCTGGAGGCTTCGCGCGAGGAGGTACGGAAGATGGTCTCACCCGACGCGCAAGGTTTTTCGAAGCTCTGTCAGACAGCATGGGTCTATTTTTATTGCTATGTCTATGACCCTATTGCTACAGGGATCCGATTCGTGCACCTTGCCATCATATTCATTCCGGTCGTCGCCACGGTGCCTGCCATCTGGCTTGGTCGCAAAGTGCAGGGCCGGGATGGCGCGCGGTCTGGCACATTGTGGTGGTATCGGTTCTTGGTCAAGGCAATGGAACGGGCCGGTCCTGCGTTTATCAAGGTACGTTTGGTTGGCTAATAACTGTCCATTGAGACGGAACTTACAAGCTGACTTCTTGAATAGCTCGGCCAATGGGCTGCTTCACGGACAGATATCTTCCCACCGGAAATGTGCAACATAATGTCGTCACTTCACTCAAATGCCCCCGCCCACTCACTTTACCAAACGAAGCGTATTATCTGCAAAGCATTCAACGGACTGCCATTCGAGGACATATTCGAAGAGTTCCAGGAGGAACCGCTGGGCGTTGGTGCGATTGCACAGGTCTATAAGGCGAAGTTGAAACCGAACCTTGCTGCAACCAATGAAGAAGAACTGGGAATCGAACCACAAACACTGGGCGAGAAGGTTCGAAAAAATGTCGACGTGCTAGTCAAGAGCTCCCCGCAGCGGGTGCCATCATCGTATGTTGCGATCAAGGTGCAGCACCCCAGTGTTGATCAAATGATCCATAGAGACCTGCGGATCATGTCATTTTTTGCTCACATGATCAATGTCATCCCCACGATGCACTGGCTTTCTTTCCCCGACGAAGTACAACAGTTTGGTGAAATGATGAAACTACAACTAGACCTTCGAATTGAAGCCGCCAATCTCGTCATATTCCGCCAGAAGTTCAATTCTCGCACTACTGCTTGGTTCCCATACCCATACTTAGAATACACCACCCGTGAGGTGTTGGTTGAGGAATTTGCCCAGGGCATTCCGTTGGCCACCTTCTTGGATATTGGAGGGGGTCTATATCAGCACGAGATTGCTAATGAAGGCCTCGATGCATTTTTGCATATGCTGCTCATAGACAATTTTATCCATGCCGATCTCCATCCGGGGAACATCATGGTTCGTTTCTACAGGCCTAGCGAGCTAGACCTCTCCCTTCGCAAGCATTCGCGTGCGTTCGATGCCCCGACACGGGCCGAAGTTGATGTGACAGAGGCAGTCCTCAAGCGGTTACGTCCGCATCTCAATGACCCGGAGGACTGGAAGGCTGCTCTTTCCCAGCTCAACGACGAGGGGTATCGTCCGCAGTTGATATTTATCGACACTGGTCTTGTCACCCAGCTAAATGAGACCAACCGACGGAACTTCCTGGACCTCTTTCGAGCTATTGCTGAATTCGACGGATACCGGGCTGGTCAGCTTATGGTCGAGCGGTGCCGAACACCGGAAGATGTCATTGACCCGGAGGTATTTGCACTGAAAATGCAGCATTTGGTTCTGAGTATCAAGTCTCGAACCTTCGCTCTGGGGAGTGTCAAGATTGGTGATATCCTTAGTGAGGTATTGACTATGGTCCGCGGACACCATGTTCGGTTTGAAGGAGATTTTGTCAACGTCGTCATTTCATGTCTTCTGCTTGAAGGAATAGGACGTAGTTTGAACCCCAATCTAGACCTGTTTAAGAGGTGAGTTTTCTCTTCCACGAGGCTTTCTACTTGTTCAACTGAAGCTGACTTTGTCTAGTGCACTTCCTATTCTACGACAATTGGGGTCTGGCCGTTCATTCTTGGAAACTGTGCGCTCGGGCGACTACTCAATGCTCTGGGTTTGGGTCGGCCTGGAGGCTCGTGGAATGCTGCAGGCCAGCATCGAGAGTGTTGAGCATTGCGTCAAGTACGACCAACTTTCCCCTAATATATAAGACCATCCACCGTTCTTATTTTGTACCATACACACCCAATTCTTCACTGTTGATATGAAAGCTTAGATGGGATGCCCGTTGAATGATGAAAGCGCAGCCATACTCGGTGGATTTTAGAGAAATACACTTACTTTTTTTTAAAGAAATCTGCTACCAAAACGTGAAACTTCTGATCTTTGGGGAAGCGGAAGTAAAATTAATGCAAAGATATCATTATCATGTGTCTATTTCCAAAGACTAACGGAGGTTGCGATATAACACAAGAGGGAAGATAAACATCGTACAAGGACAAGCGAAGATAAACAATGGAACGCCAGCGCCATGCCTTTGAATAATTACAGAGTGGAGTGGAGAAGCAGACAGCCTGGTTGTTGCAGCTGTCAAACACTCTTAGCGCGAGGTCTGTTCACGAACAGCTGCACCGCTAGCCCTCCACCAGACGTCACCTCCCCACCTCATTAGGCGCTCAACAGCGGCGGTCGGTGTATCTAACGCAGGGCGGATATCAAGGTGGAAGACAGGCAGTCCGTGAGGATCTGGATCCCCAGAGTAGTAATCGATCACGTATCGAACTTCCTTCGGGCCTGAAGGTGTCTGGCGGACGACATACCAATCGTGACGGTCAAATGGAGGGCTTGTCCTGTTGGAAGTGGAGTCAGAATTTTGCCTATTGTAAATATCGCGAGGACAGTCCTTACTGAAACTTGCTTGGGTACGCCCAGCTCAGTATCTGGTATATCTGTGCCTTCGGTGACCACTCTTGCGGCCGACCCTGGAACCGGAGCAGACGAGGCTCGGGGGTCGAATCGAATTTACCATTCTCGTCTGCATAGGTCAGGTCCATGCTCAGGTTTTCCTCGCCGCGGCGGCAGTGCTCCCATCCAGACTTGAGTCCCTTGGCGAATACGCGCTCCCATCCCACGATTTCGTCCCAGGCACCTTCGTTCAGGAAGTTGTGCACTGCAACCATCGACTCCACCGCATCCTGGGGTGTATCTGTGTGTCCTTTGCGCAACATAGCGTTGTACATTTGTTGCGGAGACGGATACTCCCAGTTACCTTCGCCGTCGCCTCTTGGAATTGATGAGCCTTCGCGCTCAACGGGAAGGTCAACAGTTTGATTGGCGGCGCGCTCTTGAGAGATAGACGAGAACATGTAGTTCAAAGGATTGAGCTTCGAAAGGGTTGAGGGCTGCGCCGCGGTGTCGGGTGGCTGCGGTGTTTGCGCCGGTGTTGATTTTGGAGCAGAGTAGAATGGAGAGTCTTTCGATTTCATGGGGCAGCTGCTAGGGAGTTCAGCAGCAGGTGCTGGCGAGGCTGAGGGCTTCGAGCCGGATTCATGCATCGGGCATCCCGGCTTTAGATAAGAGTCAGTCTAAATGATCAAAGCTGTACAGTATGCGGGAAACGAACCGGAGGAGATGCGTTTGAGGATGCATGTGGGATCGAGACTGCAGGAGCTTGCGGAGTATCTGCCCAGAACCAACCCATTTTGAAGTATGAAGCAACGAAATTGAATGGTAAAATTCAAGACGAAAGCAAAAGCGATAAAAGACCGGAGAAAGCGGACTTTTTTGATGACATAAAGGTGCCACGTGATAGGCCGAGTCTAAAACGGTGAATTTTATACTTCATCTTTATATATCTACTTCACGGACTTTCTTTCTGTTATTTCTTTCGGTTTATTATTACACTTGATGTTGATTATGCAGCGCAAAATATACAAGCGCTCATAATTGAGAGCTAAGTAAGGGAGAGTGCACCCGTTCCAAGAAGAGACGAGAATTCCAGTTCCTCCGACTCGGATATCACAAATCCAGTCATTGCTTCATCCCAGATAGAGCGCCAATTCAAGCTGTCCAAAGCTGTAACGAAGAAAAATTCGGCCATAAGTTTTGAAATTTGCTCCCACGACTGCCATCCACATATCATTGCGACACGGGCTAGCCGCTCCACAAACCATTGTCTCTCAGGCTGTCCAAGGGCACCTTGGGCTCCGATAAATAATGCCCAAACGTACAGTCCGAAGTTTTGCTTTGGCAGTCCTACAAGAAGAGACAATTTGCAGCTATCCAACGCTGTTTTGAGGTGTTTCGTAAGGGCTCGACCCAATCCAGATGATGAAGGCGAGACAATCAGAAAATGATTGAGATAACAAATAGCAGCCACTCGAGTGACTGCTTCGATCGGATGAAGATTGGGCTCCGGGTTGGGGGAACCTTCTGCATAGATATAGCTGAGAAGTTGATGCTCTGTTTCGCAGTTGAGGATGCGGAAAAAGTCTTGGTCGCCAGGTTTGATGACCGTGGGATTTGTCTGATAGGTGATGCTAAAGAATACCATGTCACGAAGCACACTTATAATTTTCAGTAAGGGAGGACTGAGAAACGTGTTGACAGAAAATCCCGTGCCTAGTCTGTTGAGAGGGGACGAAGCCAGTGGTCTGATTCGCTGTTGGATCTCCGAAGGAATTGGCTGTGCATCCCAAGTCAATGGGAAAACAGGTTTGGTCATCAATCCTGACGCGGCTTTGATGTCGGTTCTATTTCATCAACCGTGAGCGGAGCTTAGTAAAGAGGTGGACCGAAAACACACGTACGTGATGATGGCAGACAACATAGAGGAGGAACGGATACTCTCATCTGTTATTCCACCCCGCAGGTCGACCATACTTTTAAGCCCTGTTAGGTGAGTATGGACCTCGCTGAACTCTCCGATAATTAGCTGTGGACTGTTAGCAACACTGCAATCCGAAGTCACGAATAGAATCCATACCGAGCCAGTGAGGAGGTTGACTATGGTATCAAATGCCTCATTGCTGAGTCTGCGATTCGGATCCCGTACTTTTGCGCTCATCTCTTGAATGGACTTTGCTCTCATCATACAATAGTCAGGGTCGTTGGTAAGCACCGAGTCCCAATTGCCCGATCGCTGGCTCGCGAGAACGGCTCGATGTGCAGCGCACATGCTCATCAGCCCAAAGAAACTTCCCGGGTCAGAGAATGAGGATCTAACCATTAGTTCCATCTCTTGCTTTGAATCTTTGCTCGTGTTCGGAAAAGTCATCGGTACGAATATGGTTTTCCCTTCGCCATGTGGTCAGCTCTAGTTCTGGGGAGGCTCATGCGGTATGAACACCTAGAACGACTAGGATAGACAAGGTTGAATGAGTAATACTTACAGTAGTACACCAAGTGTGCAACCATCGAAGGAAGCTCACTAGTACCGGGCAACGTAAAGAAAGGATCAAGAAACCATGATGTAGGTGGGTTGGGATTTGAATGGAGAGGCAAAGGATAACCAGCACACCACCTGACAGGACGCCCACGGTAAATTGACGTAAAACCGTCTCCGGAGTCTGTATCCAGTATGGAAGACGAAGCGGAGGACTGAGATGAAGCCCTCAGCACCAGTCTTTGTTCATCTGATTCATTAATGGTAGCCTTGGAAGCATTGGATTGCCCGCGATTCTGTCTGGATGTTCGCTTCAACCCAGCAAGTCTCTCCCGTCGGCGTACATCGCGCATAACATGGGAACGAATAGCCTTGCGTGCATTGACATCTTTAATCCTTTTGGAGGTCAAGTCATCGTCGTGATCGATGAATGTAAAAGAAGGCCGATCCAGCGGCGCAGGTTTAGCCTTGGGTTCTAGTGGGGGGATTTCAGTCCAAGCTCTTGATGATCGAGGGGGATCTCTTTGCTGCAACTCTAACACTGCTGACTGATGGGGAAGTCCATAACCAGACAAATAGGAAACAAAGAGCAATATCACTCAAAATTGACGGGAAGTTGACCTCGAAGGAGGCAAACGAGGCAACAGAGGCAAAAAGAAGCGAACGGGATTCAGAGTTCAATAAGGCCAGATTCCCTAATATCAGGTATATCAACTAGAGATGCACTGACCTGAATGGGTAGAACCAAAGGTGAAAGGCTGCAGATGATCCATCCGAAGAGCCAAGTTCGGAATGCAAAGAAAAAAGAGGTAAAACACAGAAGACAAACCAATAACGAAGTGGATAACAGGCTATGCAGTTGGATGAAGGCGGATTTAGAAGAGAAAAGGAGCGTAGTTACGTTGCCAATGCGGGGGCGAGCACAAGCCCAACTCAGCGCTCGTCTGGGATGATCCGGTGCTCAACGGTGTAACCTATATACTCGGAATCAAATGGTCTTCGGGTATTCAATAATTGGACTTTATTGTCTTGGACTTGGAGAATCTTGGAGAATCTGAGAAAAAAAACCCCATGACGCCCAAATAATGCTTGCAACCCGCTAAGGACAAAGAAGGAAAGGCGAGGATAAGACATGAAGACAAAGGAAAGGGTATTCAACATGAAGAAACTATTTCAGTCTCATACTCGCATATCACTCAATAGTCGCGAGATCAACGCATAGCCAAAGAAGACAGCAACACATATCCAGATTCGGTTTCGTCTGGCCCAGCCTTGACCAGCCTCTCTCGCGACATTTCCACCATCCACGACGGAACCAATTCCAGGAGCACTACCGTTGGGACGTCGACGTAAAGCACTTGTCTCTGGAGAACACTTGGTGGGCGCGTCGGGATCCGGTAAAATCTGACCGGTGGCAGAATCGATGCGATGCTCTTTCATCCAAGCCCAATTTTCCTGGTCGAGTTCGGTCCATTCTGTGCGGAACTTTAAGCCTCCATCTCCCGCCTTGACATTGTTGATACCTTTGGAAGTTCGAGTGACACCGGCAGTGGCGCTGACATGAGAACCTCCTCCGGTCGAGTTCCACCACCGAGATCGTGCGGCAAGCACTCTGCGCTCACTTTCCGAACCACTGACACTTCCTGTGGTCATTTCTTCACTGGTCATGAAAGAGAGAAGACCGATGAGAATAGTCGAAACTTCCCAGGCGGGGTTGAATGATTTCGGGTGGAAATCACTAATGCTTAGACAGAGTCGAGTGGAAGGCTGGAATCGACCACTGGGTGTGTGCATGCGAATGGCGGGGGGAGCGAATGGGTACTCTGGAGGGAATATCAGTGTACCCCAGTACTGTCCGTTTTCATAAGGAGTCCCCGGAGGTCCAGTGAGGATATAATGCCATCTGGAGCAGGTTAGCTTCGAGGTTCTGCGGTAGCTCGAGGGGGTGTATATCACTTACTCAAGGATATTAGTCTCAGATGGGTGGGTCACAATATATGGCGTGGGATCTTTTTGGATATTTTGGTATTCACGAGTGAGCTATAATAATTAGACACGATTCACGGATAACCGATTGACCTTAGGTCTGGCCACTTACCCGTTTGAAAGCCGCTTTTGTCGCCATCTTTAGTGATTGGAGCAGAAGCGATAGCAGAAGCAATAAAGTTTGCGAAGTAGAATAAGACAAGTCGGTGTTTATGAGTACTGGGAAAGCGAGTCCCAGGAAATAAAATGAACAGTGAAAGAAGTTGCGGAGTCAGAAGATAGATTGTCGCAATCAGGCGCTCACGTTCGCCAGGTCACGTGCTGGTTCCATATCTTGCGGGTTTGGCACGCACCCCCGATCTATTCCCCGGAGGCCGAAAGTTCTGGCCATTGCAGCCGCAAAAATGTCTTCCTCTTTTGCTGCCGGAGATGATAGCGTCAGTGCATACCTTAGGCAGCTCATGAACTGCCTAAATGCTCAGTTGACCCTCTATTGACTTCTATCCGCTTCTAGATCTTCGAACGTTTGCAACAGCGAGCAGACCCTAAGGTGTTGGAAGAGCAACAGCAGGCCGTGAATGAGCGCATGCAAGCCATTTACCAAAAGGCTCAGGATCGACTCGCTGAATTGGTATGGTCTTCACATCTAGAAGCCGATGACAGCCAATTCGCGTTTACTTGCGGAGTTCCCGGCTGATCGCAATATTTATTAGATCGACGAAAATTCGACCCTGCCCTGCACCATCTCTTCTGTTCAAGTCACCAGTGCTCCTCATACCAGACGAAGCTTCCTTGAGCGCAACTTGAGCCCCCTTTTGAGTGCAAACAAGGGTCGGCCCTATACACTGTCTGAGGCGTTGCGGGAAGTGTCGGCTACCGCAGATAAACTTGGACGTTTCGGTATGAGACGATGGGATAATAGCAATGATGATGGGTATCTACTAACATCATCTCAGATCTATTCCACCAGCCTATTTCGGTCTACTTGGATGAGTCGCAAGGCCAAAATGGCATGCGCAACATCGATGTCCATCTGGCGACGCGAGAGAAGTCCCGTGTGCTGATGAAGACTGGAACAGACTTGGGCAATGCTGAAGGTTCAGCCTACGGTAATCTTCTCTGGCGCAATGTCTTTGGTGGTGCCGAGACTTTAAATTTGAACGCTTCGCTCGGTACCCGGACACGGTCCGCTTACCAGGCTGCATTCGAGACCCCGATCTTAGGTGATCCCGATTTCCGCCTAGAAATTGGCGGTATTGCAAGTTCCACACAGAAGTCTTGGGCGAGTCACGAGGAGGTTCTCAAGGGTGGTTGGAGTAAGCTCCGATGGATGTCCAAATCAGGCCACCATCACGAATTTGGATACACCGGTTTCTGGAGACAGCTCACTGGCCTTGCGGAGAACGCCTCACCTACTGTCCGCGCAGATGCAGGTGACAGCGTGAAGAGCAGCATCTTCCATAGCTGGGTTAACGACCAGCGGGACAATGCCTTGCTGCCATCTCGTGGGTACTATGCCAAGGCCTTCAATGAGCTGGCTGGATTTGGCCCGCTGAAGGGCGATGTATCTTTCTGGAAGTCGGAAATTGAGACACAAGGTGCCATCCCTATTCCCATCCCAGGAATTAAGGGTGACAGCGGCGTTAGCCTCACCACCGGATTCCGTGCTGGTCTTATCTACCCTCTTGGACTAGAGTCCAACCCTCGCCCTCAACTGTCCCGTGTCAATGACCGCTTCCAGCTTGGAGGACCTACTGACGTCCGTGGATTCCGCCTCTGCGGTCTCGGTCCTCGTGAAGGCGTTGATTCCCTAGGCGGTGATGTGTACGCCGCCGGAAGCGCCAATCTGCTGTTCCCGCTTCCCCGACTTGGGGCTGAGAAGCCCGTGCGGTTCCAGGCGTTCTTGAACGGTGGCCGCTTGCTTTCTCTGCAGACTTCACAGAAAGCCACTCCTACTACTAATGGTGAGGTGCAGGATGCTCTGGTCTCAACACTCTCTGAACTACAAAGCGGACTGCCCAGTGTCGCAGCTGGCTTCGGTATCGTTTACGCTCATCCTGTCGCTCGCTTCGAGCTTAACTTTTCCTTACCTCTGGCATTGCGAAAGGGTGAAGAAGGCCGCAAAGGGCTCCAGCTGGGCATCGGTATCAATTTCCTGTAAACATTACCAAGTAGATTTTCCGCAGATTCAACCATACCTTTCACATTGCTTTACCAATTCCAATCAAATTCAGATAAACGTTGGACATTCTAAATCCAGAAAGAAAGACATTTCTCTACCCTACATTTACACTGGGCCCTGGGCCCTGGGCCGCGGGCGACTAGTCGCTTAGTCATCCAACATTATTGAGGCCATTTGGAGCTTCGAAGCTCTACAACAATCCACACATTAACCTGTCGCTACTCTCCAGATATCCCAAGCACGTCCTACACTCGAACAGAAACTAGCCACCTTTCGCTCTTCACGCCGTCAGTCGTGGTCATGGCCCAATACTATCCACAACAGCAGGGCTACGCCCCTCAGGGCTCCGCACCACAGAATCTCCAGTTCTTCCCCTCGTCCTACTCCTCGGTTTCCGGTCACACAACCCCATCACAAGCATCATATGGTGCCGGCTTTGGTGGAGCTCCCAATCCCTCCACACAAGCTTACCCTGCCGGTAGTGGGTATGGGGGATTCGGGTCCGCAGCCGCTGGCGTTAGTGGACGGATGGGCGAACAGGGCGGCTTAAGGACGGGCTGGTTAGCTGCATTTGGGACGGAGGGGTATGATGGTGAACCGCCGTTGCTTGAGGAGTTGGGTGTCAACTTTGAACATATCCGGACCAAGGTTAGTCTTGGTTGATTCTTATATCAGGCGCTTTCAGGAGACGCGGGGTCCCGGTCTTGCGGGTGGCTTGTTTTTTTACCCCGGGTTTAATTTAATTGTAGTTCTGGTCAATGTGAATGCCCGATATTGGGTGCTAACGGTTTCATTGTCTAGACACTGACTGTTCTGAATCCCTTCGCCTCTATCGATAATCACCTTATGGATGATAGCGATCTCTACGGAGCTCTGCTCTACATCGTCTTGTACGGCACTTTCCTCCTCCTCTCAGGCAAGGTATTCTACGGCTATATCTACGGCGTCGCCGTTTTCGGTACCGTCGCTTTGCATCTGATCCTCAGCCTCATGTCTCCCGCTCTCGACACCGCTCCAACTCCAAACGCCGCCGACCCTACCAACTACAATCCCCACCACAAACCCTCCATGTCTGGTGCCTCGGCCGCGGGCCATTTCTCTGCTACTCTGACCTTCCCGCGCTCCGCTAGCGTGTTGGGCTACTGCTTCCTTCCTTTGGTGCTTACCAGTCTCATTGGCATCATGATTCCCATGGATACCATGTTCGGCTATCTCCTGACCGTTGCCGCTGTTGGCTGGTGTACATACAGTTCATCGGGAATGTTTTGCGCTGTGGCGCGTATGAGTGGCATGAGGGGTCTCGTGGCGTATCCATTGGCTCTGTTCTATGTCGTTTTTGGAATTATGGGTATCTTCTCTTCGCGCGGCACCGGCTCGCTCGCCGCGAAGACAGGTGCAGCTTGAAAGGGTTGGGTTTCGATTGATACATGTTCTCTGTCTATGCGTTGCATGTATGGTCCTTTAGGCTAGTGGCTGCGATGTCTATGATCTCAATTCTAGACCAGCCTTTGCATTTTAATCATGAATATTATGGAATTCTAGCTGTGTTTATATATCATTCATTATGCATTATTAAATCCTTGTATCTGCTCAACTTGATCAACCAAGCCCATATTCTCATACCCAATCAAGTCTAAATCAACAACTAGACGGATCATGTACTCGTTGCGCCCTGATTTGGTGCCCACTTAGACAGCCACTCTCTCGCCTTTTCCAAGTCGCCACCCGCGGCTTCGGCTGCTGCAATACACCATGGTAGATCATAGACTTTGTCATTCCCTTCAACGCTCTCTGCTGCAATCAATTCTGCAAGATTGCGACGGTGTTGACTTGTTTCATCAGCACAGAGGTACAAAAGCGACATGTTAGGCACATCCGGCTGGGTGTTGAGAGCTTCGACAAGTGGGCGTGTCAACTTCATAATTTCCACCACACTCATCGCGGCTGGAGGACCAGAGTCAGATGCCGCTTTCTGCTTTGCCGTTTTGCAATACTCATTTTGACACCAGGGCTTGCCACATCCGGTCATCATTTGGGAGAGATATCGGCGTTCAATGCGACGACGTAATGCTTTGCCCTCTGGGTCGTGCGTATCCACATACAGCGGTCCGAAACAGAAATTGCACAGCCCAACAGACTCATTTCCGGCTTTATTCAATGTCCTGCCGCAGTTTTTGTTCATGCACATGCGCGGTGCGGGTCGAGAAAGGCGCTCCAAGTCATGGTGGCGAAGATGGGTGTTCATGTCACGTAATCGGATAATCTTATTACACAGGTGGCACTCGGTGGTGCGTCCTCCATCCACCAGTTCGTGTGGAGTAAGGCCGGAGAGCATCACCTCGGGGTCGTGTAAATCAGGGTCAGAATCGGCTTTCTGTGGCACGAGAAGATGGCAGAATTGACAAAGAATCAACTTCCCAGGACAATCTGTAGTACGATGTTGCGCAAGACTAGGAAGTCCCTCAAAATCCCCAGCACAGTCGATGCATTTGTGTGTTTGGTGGAAGATAGCGTCATGTTTTTCTTTGCTTGGGGCATCATTGCCATAACCAGAGTCGTGTGGACAGTGCCAGTGGCCTTGCCACTCTAAAGATCGCTTTTGAAAGACGTTCTGGCACTGCGGGCATAATATGTTATTGCGGAGACAGAAGTTCTCGTGGAGAAGTAGTGTCCGTCCAGGAACCCATTGCTGGCAGTTCTTGCACTGCACATCGCCAGGCTCGTGGGACTCTTCCGTCCCATTATGACTGACCAAAGAATCAAAAGGATTCACTCTGATCCGCAGGTGATATTGCGACGGTGACTGCCGCTGTGGATCAGATGATTCACTCTGATCCGCAGGATCAGCGTGGACTGCTATATAGAGAGCCTCGGCGTCTTCTAGAACCATGTTCGTAGGCCGGAGATCGAATTTCTTGGGCGACTGGGTCGAGAAGTCCCCCAAGACATGCATATCT